TAGATTCTAACAAAATATAAAACTTTATCTTTTTGGCTTATAATTTATATCTTTCTTTATTTGACAAGATTTTATATGACCCAATCTTAAAGTTAATTACGACAACATCACAACTACATATACAACACGTCAGTCGTGTCTCGTGCGATGTAACCTGTTAGATAATAAATCAATTTATCTCCTACCAGCGACTCATATATGAATATTTTTTTTTGCGATAGATTATATTGTACATTTTTATATTAAGTCATTTTTACTATTATATACATATGAATTACTTTTAATATATCGTTATAAATATATTTAAAGACCTATATTTGTTTAACACTTTTATTGTAAATATATTGTAATTAATACTAATAGAATAAAATCATGTCTTTTTTCAGGTAAGTACTATCAGTTATTTGCAGTAGAAAAGTGTCTATCAGTAACAAAAAAAATTAATACAAGGTAAGCAGATTTTATCATAAGAAATTAACTATTTTTAAAAATATTCATTAATTATTATTTGGCAAATTAAAATTTTCAATACATAAAACGATAAAACTATACTTACAATATCTATATATCTATATATATATAAAAGAAAGTCGTGTTAGTTACTCCATTTATAACTCAAGAACGGCTGAACCGATTTAGCTGAAAATTGGCAGGGAGGTAGTTTAGAGCCAGGAAGTTGACATAGAATACTTTTTATCTCGTTCGACAGCATTCCCGTGTGACTTGAAATGTAACGTCAGTCACTATAAAACCTGGAGTAACGAAACACAATTGACAGCTATGCAATTGACGTATAATGACAGAATAAATATATTATGTAATGACGTAATGATGACAATTTGATATTTGTAAGAAATCTACTATATAAAAATAAGCCCGGTTTTCCATCCTGACGCTATAACTACAAAACGAACGAACCAATTTCCACGGTTTTGCATTTGTTGGAAAAGTCTCGGGCTCCGTGAGGTTAATAACAAAAAAAAAAACAACTGAAAAGCGGGAAAATCTTTTGTCACATACAGCGCCATCATACATAACATGTGCTATAAATCAATATTTTAAGTAGATGGTGCCAGTGCATGATATATTGTTTGACAGCTACTCATTGTTCTCTTCTCAGTTAGTTTCATGTGAAGAACTGGTATTGTGTTTGTAGTTTGAACTCTTAAAACCATTTAGTATTTGTGGGATAAATTTAGAAAATCATTGTTTTTCACATGGGCAGTTATATTTTGCGTGTTCACGAGTTCGGAAACCATCCTCTTTATTTGTGTTAAAGTTAGACCAAAAAACAAAAAATGTGGTTTACAAAGGAGCACTGCAATGAAACGGATAATAATTTGCGGACACATATAACGGTTCGATTCGGTATCTACTTTGGATTCACTTTCATTTACTTAGAGAAGTTCAACTAAGTAACACTTCATTTTTGTAATCGAAATGAATTCATTACTGTTGTGAAATGAAATAAAAATTTTCCTTTTCAAATATAAAACAAAAAAAAAATTCTTCATCTTTTAATCACCAAACGAAATGTTATATAAAAGCCTTCTGGTGGCGAAACGGAGTTCGCCGGGTTTACTAGTTTTTTTATAACAAACACTTACATATGCAGTCTGAGTAATGTCTAAATACTCAGAGATAATTCTTATTAACGACATTATTTATCTAATGAGCGGCTGAGTCTCGACATCCTTTGAATAAACAAGGGTTCTTTAGAAAACATAATGAAAAGATTAAAATGAATTATACTACGCTTTGATGATTAAGGATACATCGTTTGTTATCTTAGGTTTTAGTAATTTCTGGATATTTTATTGCTCAAGACAATCTAAACATCGAATAGAGGTCTATATATATATTGTATCAGAAAGTCTTTTGAACTCTTTTTTTATAATATTATTTTTATTATTAAACCCCCCTCGATTTTAAATTCTTCTCTGTAATCTATGGTTTAACCTCTATACGGAAACAAATGTCGAACATATAATAAAACATCCATTATCATATGAGTAACAACAAATTATTCACCAAACTCTTGAAACTGGTATAAAGTAAATTATAAAGAGTGATACTGGTGACTTGGTGGTTCGAACCTGCCTCTGTGAATCAGAAGAACCTTCCTTCCGTCCTAGGTGCGTCCCAGGTGAAGGTTTAAGGGGCCCTATCTAACGCGCCTTAAACGCTCACCTCCACTGTCTAAGCTCCTCTTTCTACCTAACCAAATTTGAAATTTTAACTTTTAGAAATATATGTATTTTTTTATAATATACATACATATGTAGTTTCGTAGTTCTCTAGTAAGTTCTGGCTCGTCGTGATCCGCTCTCTACGTAACTTTCATTATTAATAATTTCGTCGTTGATGAAAAAAGTTATAAATGAAAACGGATGCTTTCTTAATTAAGGCTCTTATTTGTTAACAAAGGATGGTCATTTTACAATAACATTTTCTTTGTCTTCAAACAAATCATAGTCATTTTAAATTTTACTCAACGCTGTTTTTAATGTCACCAAGAAATGTACGGACAGACAGAGTGAAGACATTTTTCTAGCTAATGATTGCAATTAGGATACCGACTAAGTATTTATCTTGTGTTCTTAGAACTTGTAATGTATGTGTTAATACTGAAACGATTGCTATTTTAAATATTGAAAATTGTAGCGATTTTTTATTAAACTAAAACATAAAAAAAGATGTAATGCTAAAATATTCATCTACACTTTAGCAAACAAATAAGTAAACTGTATTGTCACGTCAAAACATAAAAACACAAGGCAGTATCTGAAGCCCAATCGTGATTGATTGCTTTATGAAGCTATATTACTGACTTAGATATCCTGTTGAGGAATCAAATGTAGTCAAGACTAGGTCTAGTTTGATTTATCTTCGCATCTGCTGCATCAGAAATCTGGAATTGCGTTTCATTACTTATTTTGGCATATCTTATTAGTTTTGATTACTTGATTAATTTTACCATTTGGAAAGAATACGAGTACATTCATATTTTTTAACTAAATTGAACTATTGTGATTTTTTTTTAACTCACATTCTGAGTTAAAACTTATCTTCAATTTGACGTCACATATGTACGTCATAAAGTAATTTCCATTTGCAGGAATGTTCAGTCTGTCAATAAGCGTATTGTTCACTTGAATGTAAAACCTTTAAGGATGTCAATGCAGCGTTCTATTGACTGTTACTTGTGAAAGAGATTTTCTTACAAATGATTGAGACGATCTAGATTCATATAATTAAACATTATATTTAATATCTTATTATTTTTAATATTATATTTTCTCAAGTGCAGGTAATCGCGTTTCATATAAAAAAGAAATTAAGTTAAATTATTTTAACTTTTTAGAATTCTTGTTATTCTCTTCAAGGGAAGTCTAAAAACTAACCTCGTCATACATCATTATTATAAATAACAACTTTATTTTGTTTTGTTTATAATGAAATGGTGAGCTTAAGAATACAAATTCCAACATAAATTTTAATATAACATAATAGAAATTAATTTCTATACTTTATTCTTGTGAAGAAATTGTGCCCGAGCTGTTTGTTTAGTTTCGAAAACATAAACGGATATTTTTAAGCCTTGAAGATTTATTAAGTACCACCATAATTTTTTGTCATTTATAATAATCAAACATTTTATTATAGTTACTAAATTGTTATCTTAAGTTAAAATTTTCTACTGCTTTATATCGAGATAAATCTAAGTTGTTCAAGTAAAAGTCTTTAAGTTGTTTAATTTAGTTAAATTTTATAATCAATCGAATAAAAACTAATGGTAATAAATAAATCCTGCAGCTCTAAAAGGATTGTAACAAAAGTTACAAGTCTTATTGTTGTGTCCTTATTCTCCGTCAAACTTACTTTATGCTTAAATTCACTATTTGATAGTATGAAACCTGTTTTGAAACTTGCTTTTTAGTTTTTTCAATATTCTTAGTATAGAAGCAGAAGCATTTAAAAACTTTTAAGATAAGCCTATTGAACCGCTGATATCACTGCGGCCTGCCTACTATTGCTACATCGTTTTGGTTTATTTGTATAGTAACTCAAAGATTTCGATAGTAAAATTATTATTACCTGTTTCATGATTCTTAGTATGTATTATTTAATTTTCCCCACATATGAATATATTTTACATGGCATTCTTTTCTCCTTTACTTTATTTTTTAATGTTTTTCTTTATTTAGCGACAATTGAAAAGTTTGGTATTTATTCATATCATTACAAAGATATGTGGAAGTTGCTATGAAGTTCCACATATTTCAGTTGAATATATGTATAAGTGGAATACTTGCTTTCACGTATATCGGAAAGAATTTAGTCTCCAATATCAAATGAATCACCCATGTTATATTAAAAACTTGTGTATGTCTTTGAGTAAAAAGTACTTATAAAGATATCGTATCACGTAAATTGACTCTATTTTGAACTTGCTTTATTGAGCTATTTTAGTAACCACATTGTATTATGGACCGTAATGCATCTCAAGAAGTTTTAAACATTATTAATCAGATGTCTACAACTTAAAGAACTCTAAGTAAAATCTTTAAGTGTATTTAAAGCTTCTTTTACTCATTTATTACCCGGACTTGTAAGTTGTTTTTTGCCTTAAAAACTTTTAAAGTAAAAAATATTGAGAGCTCTATGCTATAGCTAAGAAGTTTCTTATTAATTATGAATATACTCTTTCTTGATAGTTTTCAAATATTAATTTTATGTATAGTCTTAACTTATATATGACATGACTTATTTAGAATGTGACAGAACATAAATTAAAGATCGAAAGAATTAATTAGTCATGCGAGAAGCAAAGCAAGCGAAGCAAGTCTTTTGTTTTTAAGTGAATATTTATTTTAGCTTTGATAACTCATACGCTCAGTATTGTACATTTAGTCTCCTATTTTATTTGTGAATAAAAGAATATTATTACCACAGTATACATAATGTGAGAAACAGAAAATATGACGGCAAAATTTATTTTATTCCTTTATAATACTAAATCCATAATCAGAATCCTCGTTTAACAATTTTTTTCTCTCTCTAAGAATCTGTATCTTGGACTCTGTCGTCGCGGTAACAGCTTTATCAGTGCTAAGTTCAGCTATATCTTTATACAGTTTCTTTATCTTATATTCTGGGAATGTTATGGGTTTTAAAGTAGTAGTACGTTTCTTGCCCCTGTAGTATCCAGGCATCTGTAAACGAATAACCACCATTAATTTTTTTCATTATTATCTATATAATTTAGTGAAATATTTTTTCTTAATGACAATCCGGTCAAAACCTAACTAAATTATACACCATAATATGTTCATATAAATAAAGTTTTGAATCAAAACTACAATCGCTATCTTATTGGCTCGCTATTCATTTGAACTCACACTCAACGAGTGAATATTCTCCTCCAATATCGATCAATATTGAGATTATTATTAAAAATAATATTGAGAAAGATTGAATTCTTTGTTTTTTCTGTAATAAACAAATAAATTCAATATATTTTAAAGGTGCTTACAGATTCGTTAACGCTTTCAATCCAGTCAGCATATGCACCGACAAGTGTAAACACAGTCGGTGCGTTAGGGTATCCACAAACGGAGGGGCCGAACGATATAATACCGACTAGTTTACCAGCAATGATTGCTGGACCTCCTGCGTCATGCTGTAAAGCAGAGCACTCTTAGAATCACTTTTCTTACAAAAACTATGTAGCATAGCTTAGATCTAAAATAGCTTTAAAATAAAATCATACCGACAACAAATTTAAAAACCATTTTGATACTATAAATAGGCAGTAAGTTTATATTTTCGATATACATAATGATAAGGAAGAACGTAAAAATGGGGCATAGAAAAATGCGTATCACCCTTGAACATTTTGGTGTATGAACCCAGAGTGGAAATCTTACCTATATTTTTTTACCATGAAATCTAATAATTCAAACACCTTTATAACCATTACTATGACATTACATAATAAAATCATATTAACTTACTAATTATAATGTTTTAGTAATTATCAAATAAATAAACCAAAAGATGAAACTCAATACAATCAAATCAATTGGATTATGAACAAAACATTCTTAAACAAATTATCTTGTATTAAATAGAAAAATATTAACTTTGTCTTACGTCACAGGCTCCTTCGCCAGTTGTTAATGTTCCAGCACAAAACATTGTTTCTGATATAAACTTTCTGTAATTATGAATAGTTCAATTACATCCTTATGTCATATTATAATAATAAAAACTTTCAATTTCAATGAAATATTTTTTTACTCACTTTCCATAAACGTCCTTGCAAAATACGTTTGGATAAATTGGTAAAAACTTTCGGTTCAAGTATACAGGCTCATAGGCGAGTTTTTGTGACATCTAAAATATTTATAAAAACGCGATGAAACATCTTATAAGACAGCTATTATTTTTTTTTTTAATTATCCTTTAAGTTTATTAATAAAAATCCGTAAAAAATGTAAGCTATTATGGAGTAAGTAGTTACTACTGGTAAGCAAACTTTACTTTACCTTTGTCACTCCCCATCCTAAAACGAGAACCTCGGAAGTCGGAGAGATTCCTATTTCTGTGTGTGAGATATCAATAAGTTTAGGTATACGATGATAACTGAAGAACAGATGACGACGAAGACGAATTATCGCAATATTATGACGAAGAGTTCTTGGGTTGTATCCCGGATGGAAATATACCTGATTGAAAAAAATATTTTTAACTGTACATACTTAAGAAACAAGATATTAATATGAATATAACTGACTTCAAGAGCTTCTACATTTTCTCCTCCGATTCGACTATGGTTGCTGCCCACTCGTATTTTTAGAACTCCCGGGTTTTCACGGAAGAAACGATTATTGTGCATTCTAAAATGTGTGAACATTACATTACCATTTGTACATAATATATGCACAAATAGTTGTATTAGTACACTATATGGCAGGATATCTTTATTGAAAAATACGGTTGAAGTTTAGGTGACATAAAAATCTTTACACGGTAATAAAGACCCATCATAGAAGACTGCTCATAAATTGTGTTAGAGTACTTTGAATACGTATATTTTAAAAAAGTATCATTTGTTATAAATGAAGATTCACAAACGAATCGCTTTAACTCCAATACTAGTAACATTCACAGTTGTAAGCAAGCGGCCGAAGTTAAAACCAAGTCGTGCCAATAAATGCTCCCTCCACACCAAAATCTTCCCATCACATGGACGGAGACCATAAATGGATAATATCTTATTGTAGTTCTCTCTCCCTTATATATTCGTCTCCCGTTGTGTTTATGGTAATCGTTTAAATCTTCCAACTCTCCTTGAGGATCTGAAATAATCTGAATATTTAAAATAACATACATCAGTTACATACCTAAAAAAAATATTTTAATGAATACAAAACACACTATTAGCAATAATTTATACTCACCCCAATATATATTATCATCTTTTCTAAATTGAAACTTGTGTTTGTCCGTAGGCATTTTTGCGATCATCTCATCCACTACCTCTTCAATTATTTCATCTCTGTCGTTGTAATCTGGATTTATATGGACCATCATTTTTCTTCCAGATTTCGAAGATTTTAGTTTAGCTTTTGAAACGATCCTCAGTATATCATCTCGATTCATTTTCTCTTTTAATTTCAAATATAAATTTTTAGGTTCCTTTTCAATGAGGAATCTAAAGTGGTCAGATTCATTTAAAGCATTGAAGAAATTTGTTTCATTCAAATTGGTGGTCATCGTTTCATTTAGCAACAATTCAGCGTATTTGTCTCTGTCGACCACAAAACTGTCTATTTTCTTTAATTTCTCGTTCAGATCTTTGATCCTCTTGCTTTCTTCATCTACCCCCAGTAGAGACACTAACGTTGACGCTATATCATTAACTGTTAACTCACGGCTATCATTTTCAGTGTCATTGTTACAATTAATAAAAAATATATTTAAAATAACAATACAAAATCGCATCAACATTATCGAGGATTCGTTATTTTATTTAGTGTGATATTTCAACATTTTACAAACCTATAAATTTTATATAAATAAGAGAACCGGTAATAAAATGTTTATAGAAATAACTAAAACTAATAGAAGTTGTTTGATCGAAATGATCATATAATAATTGATGTGACATTAATGTTTGTATTTCACCTGAATAATTAAGTAGTTATTGGCATTATTAACAGTTGTGTTTTAAAATGGGACATATACATAGGTCAAGTCTGGTTGATTAATCTCTAGCACTTCAATTCTTACTGATAATGTATATTGATTCAATGAATTACGGGCTATAATAACATAAATGCACCCATACCAGAATATGTACATAATTATGTGTACGTTATACTTTATGGAAAAATAAGCTGTGAATACATTTACTAATTATACGTACAGGGTGACTGGTGAATCACTATCGATATTTGAGGACGTGATATTTGACGATCATATATGACAAAATAAAAATTAATATAACATAAATATTAATAAACTTCTAAGTAAAGTTAACCAAAAGTTATGTAATTAATTACGCATCGTGTGAACACCCTACAGATTAGGTATACACACACACACACACGCGCGTGCGGTGGCGTGGTGTTGTATCAGCACGCCGCCGCACGAGTCCACACTTGGAACGTGTCCACACTTTATTTATTTATACGGAAATTTGGTCAAAAATTAGCTACCTATTTTTTTTTTACATAATTCGAATGAGAATCATGTACCGAGTATTCTCCTTAAATATTGATAGTAATTCACCAGTCACCCTGTATAAGCAATAATTGACTATAATCGTCATGACAATCAACAACATGGGAAGAACCTTGACCGTTTTATTCAAATTTATAGCAAAAGTTGCACTCTTGTTGTAGTTATGTTAAAATTTTAATTATATAGGAATAAAAACATTTAGTAGTACATACTGAAGGTAAAACTAATTATAATGTAGGTAATAAAAAGATAGGAGAAGCAGAAATGACTCGTTCACTTGTTGACGGTTAACGGTTCTATTCAGAACACAGTGAGTGCTTGTAATTACCAAGCTGTTTTTTATTTTTACTGAAAATATAAAGCTTTTCATTAATAAAATTCTTTTGGAAAATATAGATTCTAATATAGTAATGACTACTTCTTGATTTTTATTCATCATACATTTATTTGTAACTATTGAGAAATCTTTTACGCTTTTTTTTCATACTAACCCAGAAACTGATTTCAGCTCCTTGTTATAAATAGATACCCATTTTCATTTTGTCCTTAGAGAAATCACACTGGTGACAGTGAGACAGATAGGGTATTTTCTGTGTCTTTCAGTTATTATTGAGCACTAGAGGCGGTAAAAATTTATCTGGAGAGTAAATCCGAGAGTGATCCTTGTTCATAGTTATTAAAAATAATCTTTTTTAATTTTCCCGAATATTTAAGAAGTAACTTTCTTTTTTAAATTATATATTCATTGAAAATAAGCACAGAATAGCAATTTTAAACATTAATTGAAGTATTAGTAGTATTCACTTCGTTATCTCTTAAAGACTCAAATCAAAATGCTTTCAGATGATAAAATTAAGTTTGCTAAAATTTTTGTTTATATATTTTCTGAAATACATGCATTTAAATACAATTTGTGTTACATAATGAGTCTATTATTTGGAAGAGTTTAATATAATAATATTTTTATTTCCACACTGTGCCATCTATAATTTTATGCCAAAAACAAAACGTGATTTAGCGCCATCTAGTGTCGCTTCGGAGTTCTAGTAGTAGTACTTCGTAGTACTATACTGTAATGAAAACCCCATGTAGTTACCAAAACTTTACACAGATGTCAAAATTTTGCAAAAATCATAGTTTCATATATTTTAATTCTGATATACCTACTTGATTGTTTTTTGCTAAAAGTTAAGTATATTAAATAGCTGTTGCGGATGTTCGTGGATGACGGTAATAATTACTTACCATCAAGTAGGCCGTCTGCTCGAGTGCCACCTATCACATAAAAATAAAATAAGTGCAATATGTTCGCTAGTATCTACTTAATTTTAAAAAACTTAGAGGTTTTTAAACGCTCATTATTATTAATATTTAAATAAAAAATTTATTATTTGATTAATTTACAAAATAGTAGTTCTAAAAATTAATTTCTTCGATAAATTTTTGATGACATTTCTAACATAGAAAATAACTTAATGTGCGTTCTATTAAGCCAAAACTTATTTCTCATTTTCTTATTAGTCTTATTCGTTATAAACAATCTGTTATTCGTTTAGTTCTTAATTAAAACACGTATCAAATAATAAAAGAGTGAATCCATTTAATTTCATGAAAAAAAAATTAAGCCCACAAAATACGCAATACAAATTCCTAAGTCTCTTATTACATAAAAGGGAATTTTTAATTATGAGGGTCTTTTGTATTTTAATTCATTGATGTAGCAACCATGAAATTGTATGGCTTTTATTAATATTTAATATATAATATATGTAAGTAATATTAAGTTCCATGTTTTACCCTATATACATACAAGTTTTATAAAAATAAGAGTTCTGAAACAAAATATTCAACTCATTTAAAAAACATATCTTCTATATATATAAAAATGGATTGCTGTTCCTTAGTCTCGCTAAAACTCGAGAACAGCTGAACGGATTTATCTTATCTTAATCTTGAAATGTTCGTGGAGGTTCAGGGAAGGTATAAAAGGTGAGAAAAATTGGAATAATTGCCGGGAAAACCCTAAAAACAGCCCTTTTCTATTTCCCATACAAACGCTTTTTTGACATTAGATTTGACGACTAACTAATATGTCAATCATTCTGTTTGATTGAAAAAGGAAAAACCTGATTATTTATGGCCTCTAAGACGGAATAGAGTTCGCCTGGTCAGCTATACATATATTACTAATGACGAAACTAACGCGGACGAAGTCGCGGGCAAAAACTAGTTAATTATAATTAATTTACCATTAAATTATCTCATTCTGTTTTTGAACGTTTCATTCTTCAATTTAATTAACAACAGGATTTAAATTTTAATACAAATATGGATAATTATATTGTAATTCATTATATCAATCATTCTAACTCCACTGATTTAAATCAGCTTCATTAAAAGATTTTAACTGTAACTCGACAGACAGATGTACAAACCAGATTATATCAAATCAGTACCCCGAACTGTTAAAGGGAGATAAATGATTTCAATTAATAATACGACACAATTACAATAATATTGCTCTTATAATATGAATCAAATGACCTCATCAATTACAAATGTTCAAACATTTGTAATCCTTTTTAATTAATTAATAAGCCGCAAATTATGAAATTAATTATTTATAATTTAACTACAGCCGTCATCATATGACAATTAAACTGGATGTAGGTACTAAACCTAAATTAAATATTAATGGAACACTTGTGGGATGACATTATTGCTATAACAATATAATATCTAGTACATGTATATATTAGTGTATAAAATGAACTTCATTAAATTTTTAAACATCAGTAAAGTATGTGGAATGATATACACGCTTCATATTTGAGTAAAAGATTTTTTAATATATTTCTCTTTCAGTTGTATGTTCAAAGATATTAAAAAATATATACAAATATGAACCCAAAGACTCGTCTTTTGTAAAACAAAACTGTATGAACAAAGCAAATACTCATCTATTCATATATTCACCGACTGATTTATGTTTCGGAAGTCTTTTATGAAATACGAAATAGGTCTCAATATCATTGTGGATGAAAAAATAGTTTCTTTATTGGAGTCTGCATTCAGAATGCAACGCTCAGAATTTTAATAAGAGATTGCAATATTGGAGAGATAATTACGGTTTTCAATTGATTCAACTCTTATTTCGCAACATTACTCAAAGGCCTTTCAAATTAAAACAGGAACAAATTGTAAAAAGTAAATGAATTGTAGTCATAATGATATCCATATAAGGATTTCTCATTAATTGTTAAACTTTAAATGAAGAATTTAAGTCTATTGGGCCAATTAATGCTTATATAAAAATATACATAAATGAATTTACAAAATACGGAACAATTTTAAAATAATTTACATTTAGTTGCTGTACAAAATAAGATAATGACAATTAAGTGATACTTAGTAAAAGTATGAAAGTAACACACTTTATAGAGAGGTGAGAAGTTCCGTCAACGAACAACTTGTTTAGCTAAGATGTAACTACAAGAGACAGGAAAGTTAGGAATTGAAAAGTCATTATCCTTTGCATTTATTTTGAAATTATATCTTATCGTCTAGCAACATTTTTGAGGAAGAATTTCAGGTAGGCCAGTTAGAATGTATGTTATACCTCTCACTCCTTTGGATGTGGTTGTGATTATTAGTGAGCAACTTACCTTTACAGCTAAAATATAGAATTTTTCAAATCATACTGAGCAGTTTTTGTGTCTTATTAATTTGTTCACATTTTTGCGATATGGATCCATTATTGCCATATGTATGTTGTTATTGTTGTACAATCTGTGCCAGACTCTAAAAAAAAATCATATAATTTCAGTATGAAATGTTAATAAGATCTTATTAAATAAATTGGGAGATCTCTTTATGGAAATTAAATGTCAAGATACTTATGTTATGGATCAAGTTTTATACTTTCAACTTATGGTAGAACAAATTTTGGATTAATATTGAAGTTTTACATGAATATTAAAGTAGTATTTGTAAGTAGCAACATCTATTGGTGACACAAGAAAAACACGACACCTCTTTCAATTAAGGACTTCGGATGTCAAATCGAATCATAATGAAGAATTATTACTTGGAGGTATCTTACTAGATTAATTGAATTAAGAAAGTTAACTAATTTACTCAGAGAGAAAAGTAGCAATGATCTCTCCTCATCTCAGGGTACAGATTGACGTAGGTACACAAAGTAATTGAATTTTGACATATTTATGTAAAAATTCAATTACTTTGTGTGTTATCATTTATCACTT